ATATATATATATATATACTGGACACTATAAACATTTCAATGTCAAACAAATCGATGAAATCTGAATTTGCTGAATACAGTCCTGAATTGTATTTCAAGTGAAATGGCTTTGATTGGCTGAAGTGAGGTTGTTTCTCAGATTAGCATCTTCATGACACACCTGTCCAACTACGGGAACGACCGTCTGGGTTTGTTCACCTTCAAACGGCTGCTCAACTTCCTGCTCACCTGGACTCACCTGAAACTACAGACGCTTCCTCCGCTGCAGCTCGGCAACAAATACTTCCAGCTGTTTCCGTCGGACGCCGAGCCGCTCTGGCAGGTCTGTGACGACGGCAGTTTAGTCCAAGTGTGATTTAAAACAACAGAAAGTTGACTGTAGAGGACCAAAATCTAAATCTGCATTTGAAATCTGAATGAAATGAGTCACGATGTGATCAAAAGCAGAACCTCCAGCAGCTTCACTGTGATTGGCTGCTGCTCACCTCTCATTTGCATAAAGCTCAGCAATTCCCGACTTTTTCTCAGCTCTCAATCTGCACAACACTTTCTCTCCGTCTCAGTGAAATCTCTCAGCGGTGTGATCTTGTGTTTAGGACCCCTGTGAGGATAAAAGACACAAGGACATTTGGTCGAAAGAGAAAACCTGCGACCGTTTCCCAAAACTGCTGCTCATTGGGCCTCAGAAGACGGGTGAGGAGCGACAGCGCCACCTGACAGACGCATGCAGTACAGCACACGCTCTTTACACTGTTAGAAGCGTACAGTGTTTGTTGTGTCTATTTAAACTACTTTATTGGCATGATTGTGCTTTAAAATATTGTCAAAGCGTACACCGAACAAGTAATGACAAGAAAAAAACAATTAAATTAACTATTTAAAAGTGTTAAAATAAGGTGTTTATATATATATATATATATATATATATATTTTTTTTTTTTTTTTTTTTTTTTTTTAAAAATAATAGCTGCTTACAGCTCATTTACATAAAGTCCAGCATTTCCCGACTCTTTCTCAGCTCTCGCTGTCAGTCTGCTTGTGACGCTTTCTCTCGTCTCGGTGAAATCTGTCAGCGGTGTGATCTTGTGTTTAGGACCCCTGTGAGGATAAAAGACACAAGGACATTTGGTCGAAAGAGAAAACCTGCGACCGTTTCCCAAAACTGCTGCTCATTGGGCCTCAGAAGACGGGTGAGGAGCGACAGCGCCACCTGACAGACGCATGCAGTACAGCACACGCTCTTTACACTGTTAGAAGCGTACAGTGTTTGTTGTGTCTATTTAAACTACTTTATTGGCATGATTGTGCTTTAAAATATTGTCAAAGCGTACACCGAACAAGTAATGACAAGAAAAAAACAATTAAATTAACTATTTAAAAGTGTTAAAATAAGGTGTTTATATATATATATATATATATATATATATATTTTTTTTTTTTTTTTTTTTTTTTTTTTTAAATATAATATATATAATACTCAAGGCAGTAGATGGTTTTGAGGGTGTGCAGTTGAAAACTGAAATTTGTACCTTAGTTTCTGACAAAAATGACATAATTAGTACTTTCAAAAATGTAACAAGTTTTCCAGTGTTAATTGCAATTTTTGTTAGAATCTAATGATGACCAATTTCATTAGAAAAGAAATTAGATGGAATTACAGAAAGATTCATTGAGATTACACATTCATTTGTTACTGTTATGAAATATATTTTTTAAATATGTTTTAAAAAAATTAAACCATATAAACATCTTCATTGATTGAAATAAACATGAACAAAAATAAAGTATAAAATACTTATTTTATTAAAACTAGTTATTGTTATACAGGTATTGTTATTTAAACTTATTTTATTTCAGCTAGTTGCCAAGGCAACATTTAGAATTTTCATTTAGTTTAGCATTTGATTTTAGAAATACTAAAATAAAAAATTAAAAGTACTAGAATAACTGAAACTTAATCAAAAGTATATAGACATTTAAAATATTTAATTAAAATGACAAACACACAACAGCAAAATTACTGAGATTTTTAAAAAGGAAATATAAAAATAAAATACAAAAAAAATAATCTAATTCAAAATGGTTACAAAATCTATAAAAGTCAGATGTTTCATTTTCTCCATGTTTCTCTGGTGGTTTTTCTCAGGAGCGATGGCGCTCTATCTGTTTCTGGGGATGCATCCTGATCTGAGCAGTAATTACCCCAGTAAAGAGACGTTTGAGGAGATTCAGTTCTTCAGCAGTCACAGTTATCACCGGGGCATCGACTGGTGAGGGTCAGCGGCGCTGCAAACATCATAACACTGCTCCTTTCTATTTATTCCTCTGTTTTCTCTATCTCCCCTGCAGGTATATGGAGTATTTCCCCCTCCCGTCCAACAGCAGCTCTGATTATTATTTTGAGAAAAGTGCCAGCTATTTCGATTCGGATGTAGCCGCGGCCAGAGCTGCAGCGCTGCTGCCCAGAGCGAGAATCATCACGGTCCTGAGTGACCCTGTGGAGCGAGCCTTTGCCTGGTACCAGGTACATCTGCACCCTTCACGTGTGACTAACTTTCTCACGTGTGAAGCATTAAAGCACACGTTTTATGGAGGTGCAACTAAGGGGAAAAGACTTTGTAAAGAAAGCTGTGAAACTGCACGCTTTACAAAATAATTGAGTACAGTAATCATCCATTTAACAGTGGTGTTAAAATATTAAAATATCTTTTATGAAAATGTAATGTTTTTGTGTTGTATTTGAGTAGTACTATTAATATTTTTATTTAACCATGAAAACACTTAAACTCATGATAATATAGTTGTTCTATGATTATCATAGTATTTTATCTACATTTCTATGCTAAATGTGGTTTGAACTTGAAAATGAAAAATTAATCATCAATGTAGACTAAGAATATAATTAATTAATTATTTAAAATGTAAAATAATGAATGAAAAAATTAAATTAAAATAATAGTAGAAATAATAATAAATAAAAAGAGTTGTATTTATTGTATTGTATTTTTATTTATAAAAAAAACTTGTCTGTTATATAAGTAGATAAATAATGTAGAGTATTAATATTTGTTGCATTGGTCTATATCAATAAAATGATTAAATATCATTCTTCCTCGAGTTAAAACATGTCTTAATTATTTTCAACTATATTTTTTTCTCTATTTCTGAATCTACGGACTGTTTGGTTGAAATTATGTTTCTGTTTTCTTTGAAGTCATATCCAGTTAAATATATCAATATAGACATGTGTACTGAACATCAAAATTATTCATTTACTTTTAATGTTAATGTTAACATTTAATTAATTTTTTGTCTGCAGCATCAGAGAGCACATGCTGATCCTGTGGCTCTGAAATACTCTTTCCATGATGTCATTACGGCATCCCACAATGCACCTGTGAAGCTGCAGGTTCTGCAGAAGCGTTGTCTGGCTCCAGGATGGTACGCCACACACCTCTCGCGCTGGCTCGAACACTACCACCACGACCAGGTGCGTGTGTTTAGCAGCATGTAAGACCGTATGTTCTAATTCAGCAGACTTATTCATCATATTTCTTGCATTAAACCCTCACAGATTCTGGTTGTGGACGGCCAGACATTGAAAACGGATCCAGCATCAGTCATGGAGAAGATCCAGACTTTTCTGGGTTTGGAGAATCAAGTCGATTACCACAAGACACTAGCGTGAGTTTGAGCATCAACACACAAATTCATATATGTTTTAACTGTGACGATTCAGTCTCATGCATTCTTCAGGCATAAATCGTTTCAATTAAATACCCTCAAAAATGCTTGTTCAGTGAACTCAAATCAAGGTTAGTTTAGGTCCGTACATCAAAACTAGAACAAGTTCATTTACAGGAACATACAAGAAACATTTCTGATTATTAGCAATGTTGAACACAGTTGTGCTGCTTCATATTTTTGTGGAAACAGTGATACATTATATTTTTCATGATTCTTTGATGAATAGAAAATTCAAAAGAAGTTTAATGCCTCCTTAATAATGTTTCTTGAGCAGCAAATCAGCATATTAGAATGATTTCTGAAGGATCATGTGACACTGAAGACTGGAGTAATGATGCTGAAAATTCAGCTTTGTATCACAGAAATATATGACATTTTAAAACCTATTCAAATTGAAAACAGCTATTCTAAATAGTAATAATATATTACTGTTTTTACTGCATTTTCGATCAAATAAATGCAGCTTTGATGAGCAGAAGAGAGTTCTTTCAAAAGCAATCTAGATTTAGTAGTGACATGCAAACTAATAATTGGTCTCTATCAGCATCTAGAACCTTTCATTACAAATATCAGGAATTTTTGCAAGCTACAGCATCATGAGGGATGTTTTGATGTCCTTTCTACACTTTTTCCACATTATGTTTTGCAGGTTTGACCCAAAGAAAGGCTTCTGGTGTCAACTGCTGGACGGAGGAAAGACCAAGTGTTTAGGGAAGAGTAAAGGACAGAGATACCCGGACAAACAAGTAACTCTTTTCACTCTTTATTGAGTTTATTGTAAAAAAAAAAAACAAGGTAGAGGAAATGCACATTCACAGTCTGTCTCTTTTCATCAGTCTCAGGTGTTTTTGAGGAACTACTACAGAGATGGTAATATCCAGCTCTCTAAACTGCTGTATAAAATGGGTCAGGTTCTGCCCGGCTGGCTCAGAGAGGATCTGCTCAACATCAGGTAACAGAGGCTCTCGTTTGGTCAACAGCACAAACGTCTGGAGTGCCATAAGACTCTCAGAGTCCACCGATGGACGTACAGGAGGAACAAACCACCTCTGACTGGAGCTTGTTCTTACCTAGATGAGTTTGAACTAAAAACAAATTTAAAGAACTGACTTAGTACTTTTAAAACGTGCTGATAGTAATTTTGTAATTATTTAAAGTCCAGTATTTATGAACTGACTTTTATCTGTCCTGTTATTGACACTGGATCAGACTGTGCTGAACTAATATGAAGATCCTCAAACATATTGCTGCAGAAACTCAACAACTTTATTTTTACTCAACAAATTTGATGCAGACTCGATTTGATTTTATGAAGTCAAAAATTATGCCAACGGCCTGTGATGTCTAATATGGACATTTTTGTTTTACTTTTTGTTTTTACATTTTTCGCTAGTTCTCTGTTGTTGTTGTTTTTGTGTGTTCGGGGCAGTTTTACATTTTCTAACGTGGACGTTTACAGGAGTCGATTTACTCGCCTTCATGTCGCTTCAAACAGAGGACTTTCTCTCTCTTCTGTGAAACTTTGTTGAGCGCCAAAAGTACCATCAAACATTAGTGCACTATATTCCATCTCTTCAGAAATCATGTGATGCTCTGAGTGACAAACAGATTGAAATTTCAGTGAGTTGTCGTAATTTTATTCATGTTCATTGTATGAAATATAATCTTTTGTGTTTCACAGAAGAACTTCATAGAGGTTTGAATGACATGAGTGTGAGCTAATCATTGTTTTTGGGTGAATTATCCATTTAAAGTTGCATCTCATTAGCTAAATCATACATGGTTAAATATTAGAGCAAAATAATAAATTGCTACTGTAGTGAATTTAGAGTTTAAAGTGCCATTTAAGTGTTTTTTGTGTGTGTGTGTGTGTGTGTGTGAGAACAGCCTGTTAATGTCATGTTATTTGTTTTATTTTCTCATTGTGGTTGAAACACAAAACTGGTGATTTTATTAAAAGGTAAATGTGTTATTAAACCAATAGTCCACCCAAAATCTAAAATTGTATTTTGTTTATCCTCAATGTCTTTCGAAACTCATATAACTTAAGTGGAAAACAAAATGTTTAGATTTTTCCCTTCAAATCAGGCTTGATGTCAGTGAAATCAAACAAACTACTGGCTCTCATAATTGCGTTTTCCTTTACTGTTCCTGGCATTTTCATTTATTTATTTATAATTTTTTTCGTAAAGGTCACCTGTCATTTGTGTGAAATTCATTATACATTAAGGAATAGAATATTGGGCAGATGATGAAAAAATCACTCATGTGACCTTTGGAAAACCACTTTTATTACTACAGGGTTTATATTGTAGTGCCCAAAAACCATGGTATTAACAGTTTCTATGGATTATTGATATGGTAATATGAATATATGTGCACAGATTGAAGCGTCTCTCACTACATGATTCAGAAATCAATTCTCATGTTTTCTTCTTGGACTGAAATCTGACCTGGTCAAACGCATGAAGATTAGAGCAAAATAAACCTCACTGTTACTAATGCTGCTGGAGATCTGTGTGAGCGTGTGTGTGTAATTCTTTGATATTGTTGCTATGGTTACACATCTCCTCATCTCCTAAGTGTTTTTTATGAGTTTAAATCACTTATCTATAATAGAGAACTTAATATATTATATATAGATCAGTGGTTAAATACATTCACATTGTGTTTTGGCTTGAAAAGCTCCAGAGAGTTTTAGATTATTAATGTGAGTTTCTCAAGTAAGATGCTTTTCTGGCGGACCTCTTGAAACCATTAGTTACGGTCAAGGACTTTATTTGTTGGTTTTTAAAATGCATTTCAATGGCACATTAGTGAGGTATAAAAATGTAAGTTAGTGCATGTGTTCAACCACACGGTGGCAGCAGAAGCTTTTAATATTATGAGTATTATGAGTAGATCTGGTGGTGGAAACCCTGTTTAAACCCCGTTTACACCAAAGACATAATTATAATGATAACTGTAAAGTTTAATAATTGCTCTAATTCTATGACAGTAGTGAAGTTCACACCACAACGGTTACTGTAACGATATGGAATCACTTCCAGAACGGTTCCAGCGGATAAACGATAAAAGCATAACAGTCGATCATTTAAAAAGCGGGGAATTTAAGCGGCAGATGACGTAATAAAATCGATGTTCTTTATTTTTGACTGTGTTTACTTAATAGACCCTTTTCACAGCGACATCAGCTAACTTCCGCTTTCCCGCAAAGCAGTGTTTCTGTACTTCCGTTATACCTTTACACCGGACATCTTGGTCCTCGTTTACACATATAGGAGAGTAAGCTTTGTCAAATCATTCCATCATGCATGATCCACACTGATGTTCACCTCAGACTAAATGTCAAACCTTTATTTATTCTTTGGAGCATCAGTAAAGCATCACGCAAACATTAATATATATATAAAAACTAGACAAGAAAGGGTTTGTCAAGGCAACTACTGAACGGTGGCGTGACAGCCTTTAAAAAAGTTCATGAAGTTTGAAGGTTATGTAGCTCTTATGTGATTTTGATTCTTGAGCAGAAGAGAGATCGAGTGGAACTGAGCAGAAGTTTGAAGGACACGCAGGAAAACAGATGGTAAGCAACATTAAATGTTTTATTAGAAGTTTGTAGGACCACAAAAATAAACTTTTTCCTTGTCTCATTCGCCTTCACTTAAAACTCAAGTTTAGTTGCTGCCTTTAATTTCCATAACCAAATTAGCTGTATGAGTCATGAGAGCTCATTAAAAAAAAATAAAGAAATTGTTCAACCAAAAATGAAAACTTACTCACCCTCAAGCCATCAAAGATGGAGATGAGTTTGTTTCTTCATCAGATTTGGAGAAATGTAGCATTACATGACTTGCTCACTAGTGCATCCTCTGCAGTGAATGGGTGCCGTCAGAATGAGAGTCCAAACAGCCGTGTCCTGCACTGAAAAAAATGTTTCATTCATCCAATTCAAAATTTTAGGGTAATGATTCACATCTATATTTTTAAAATTGAGCCAATGAAAAATAAAAAACTTGCCCTAAGGGCAAAACATTTTTTTCAGTGTGTGAACTGAAAAGCTGTTATTTCTTACAAACACACAGTTTTGTGGTTCACGAGACATTAACTGATGGACTGGAGTCGTGTGGATTACTTCTGAATTATTGTGATGTTTTTTATCAGCTGTTTGGACTCTGATACTGACGGCACCCATTCACTGCAGAGGATCCATTGGTGCGCAAGTGATGTAATGCTACATTTCTCCAAATCTGTTTTGATGAAGAAAATTTCTTTACAGTGTTCTTTAGTTCATGACTTTCATTTTTTTTATCTCCCTGCTTGTCCGTAAACAAACGTGTTGCTAGGCAACAGGCCCCTGCCTCGTGCTGGTGGTGGTTGTTAATGGAGGGTCTCAGCCAGTCCTGTTTTCCCAAAACACTCCCCTCCCCCTGAACCAGGTGTCTGAAACGCTCTTCTCCAGAGGGAGGAGGAGACAGGCTTTATGAAGGCCACAACACTTACGGGAATGAATAAAGAACACATTCCTACAGTTTGTTTACACCATTCCTATTGGAATTATTTGTTATTTGGAAACAATCCATCTGGGATCATAAAAGAAATTCTGTAAGAATCAGAAATGATCCTCCTGAAAGTTTGATGCTTGTTGGTTTTTGTTGTTTGAACGTCTTCTAAACCTCTATTTCTTGTATGGGGATCATACTGATAATCATGATAGTCCAATAGAGAACTTATGTTCTAAAAGAATGTTTCCCAACAAAAACGATTTTGTCTATAATGTCTCATCTACACATCAGTGTCATTAAATGCTTTCTTGAAGTTTCCTAGTTCTCAGATATTTCTCCTGAGGAAAAAGACTCCTCTAACAACGATGAGAAACAACAGTGACACTTACGGGAGTTCTCAGCTGTGTCTCATTGAGATTGTCCTCTGGTCATGTGATCTGTTAGAGGGGTGTGATGTGCTATATTGCTCTGTTTTGAGGTGTGTGTGTGTGTGTAGGGTGTGTGTGTGTGTCTGGGCCCCTCTTTTTCTTGTTTCCTTGGTCACACTGACGGACACACACACACTCTCACTATGGCGGCCTCAGAGACATGCAGCTCCGTTCCTGAGTCTCCTGAACCAGAGTCCTGCAACAGACCACAGCTGGACCAGAACCGGGAGCAGGACCAGATCCTGCAAAACCAGAACAAGAAGGAGGAGGAGGACGAGGAAGATGAAGGATCTGAACCTCAGGACCAGGAACCTTCAGACCCGGAGTGTGTGGAGGAGAGATTCCGGATCGACCGGAAGAAGCTGGAGCTCATGCTGTACGGTGAGTGTTTGATCGATGACAGTAATCTGTCATGGTTTTCTGTAGAATTATTCCAGAAGCTTCATTAAACTGTTTGTTTTTCTGTGCATGCAAATGAAACCTGTTGTGGTTTTCCAGCAAAAAGCCCTTCTGAATGCATTGAGATGTGATGCCAGCGAGCATTAGATGGATGTGGCCCGTTTGTATGACGGTTCTGCTGTGATGAACAGGTTTAATGGTCTGTTATCATGAGCTGTCCAGGAAGATTCTAGAGTTGAATCGAGTTTAACCACCTGCGATTCATCAACACGAGCTGGAGTTGACATTCAAATCCCTCAGAGATGAGAGCGAATGACAGATTGAGCTTGTCAGAGAGGAGAGCGGCGAAATGCGGATGTGTTTGAGTTGATCTGGCATAGATCCTCCGAGTTTCTCGTTCAGAGCTCATCAGACTTAATGGAGGAGTTTGCATTCTTGTTAACTTTAAGATCAACTTGAGATGTTTTACCTAACATTTCTTATAATTAGAAATAATTATTGATTTATTTATTTTTCGGAGAACCTGTTGGTGGTTTCCTCCTGTCTGGTGTTTAGTAGTCCTGCACCCTCTCATCTCCTTGATCTTCTGGTCTGTTGATGTGACCCTGGTTCCTCCTTCATTGTGCGTCTGTGGGATTCTTTCACCGGTTTCATGGTGCCTCTGATCACTTAGCAAGCACAGCTTTCCTTATAAACACATGATTTGAGGAATCGCTCGTGTCTGGATCTCAAAGGCTGGACTTATAACACTGATTCTTGCTTCAGCTGTCTGTGTTTCTCGGTGTTTGTGCTGTAGTTTCTGCTCATTGTGTCTTTAGTTCGCTGTGTTTGCTTCTTTTCACAGGGAGGTGAATTAGTTTTGCGTCAGCATCGCTTCATCTGACATAACTTTGCTGTTTGACGGCGTTTCTCAGAAGCAACTTTGGGGTCTTTTTCTTTTAGACATTAGCGATGAGGAGCAGTTAATGATGTTCACCCTAACCCTGTAAATGTCACTCAGGGGCAAATGTGTTTAACTTTACCACTCACTCACTCACTCACTCACTCACTCACTCACTCACTCACTCACTCACTCACTCACACACA